AGAATAACTGACACTATAGCTCAGTACTTTTTCATCCTCCCCTCTTATTCTGCCAATAACTTTTGCTCCTCTTTTTTTTAAGTAACCATCTATTCAAATAAACTTACTTCTGATCCTCCTAATATTCTGCCATACTGATTCTGTCACCCAACTCTGCTACCAATCATGTCCTTGCCTTCTATGTAGACTCTCACTTCCTAGATTTCACAATACGTTACTGATAATATTAATGGATTATGAGCTGGATAAGTTGTGGTACAGTGAAGGTGATGGAAGAGCTATGTGCAGATAACCTAGTTGTAACACCTGTAAAGGGTTACTCCAAGCACCATAGCTAATATAGCAAGCTCACTGTATTGGTCATGATGTGAGAAGTACCCTGGTGCCACCAGGTAGAATTAGGTAGAATGCAGGCCCAGGACCGCAAAGTTCCCAGTTTCAAATCCCCTGTTGGGCACTTCTGGGGCGACCACCTCTGGCCGTCTGGATGTCACGGTGAGAACCCTGACACCATATCTCTAGGTTCATGGACTGCAGGATAAAACTTACCAGGAAAGGTTAAAGGATCTTAACATAGCTTGGAGGAAAGACAAGACGGGGGGATATGATAGAAACATTTAAATACATAAAGGGAATCAACACACTAAAGGAGGAGACTATATTTAAAAGAAGAAAAACTATCACAACAGGAGGACATAGTCTTAAATTAGAGGGGCAAAGGTAACCCCTTAAGGACCAAACTTCTGGAATAAAAGGGAATCATGACATGTCACACATGTCATGTGTCCTTAAGGGGTAAAATTAATACCAGGAAGTATTACTTTACTGAGAGGGTATTGGATGCATGGAATAGCCTTCCAGCTGAAGTGGTAGAGGTTAACACAGTAAAGGAGTTTAAGCATGCGTGGGATAGGCATAAGGCTATCCTAACTATAACATAAGGCCAGGGACTAATGAAAGTATTTAAAAAATTGAGCAGACTAGATGGGCCGAATGGTTCTTATCTGCCGTCACATTCTATGACCCTCTGGACACCAAATCTCAAATGATGGTGGCTGACTAGCATCCAGCTTCTACAGAGCTGCAGAAACCGTAAGCTGATCTGGCTGCTCATTCTTTGGCAGAAAGTGTCAGCTAATCATGTTAAGTCAATGAATGAAATTGACATTAGTTAGCCCAGAGCTCCTGTTATTTGCTGGCTCACAATGTACTAATGAAGCTAATGGGGATGGAATTACATTTATTTATTTATATCACTGGTATTTATAAAGCGCCATCAGATTCCACAGCGCTGTACAGTTAGTGGAGGACTTAAAACATACACAGGCACATACAAAAGGCAGAGAGGGCCCTGTCCGTAAGCTGATATCTAGCCATTTAAGCTCTTTTACACAAAGTGCTTAGCTAGATTGCCCATGAGTTACATGCTGCAAATACAGATTCCAAGCACCATAACCACTTCACAATATTGGAGTGATAATGTTTTTTAGAATAATCCTTTAAAGTAATATGAAGATACATTGTTTAATCTTTGTGTGTAGAATAAATTAAGGAGGTTCATAAATTATAGTAATGGTGTATAGATGGACCTGTGAGTTTAAACTGGTCTTTCTGATTTTTTACAGGTCTTTGCAGTGCCAGGAATAGATCTGAGAAACGAGTAAGAATTACAAATTTTATTTAGAAAATGTTTTAACAGGAAGAATACATTGAAAATGCCTGTTTTCAATAATGTCAGCAATCTTCTATACATTTCATGTTCCCAACAATGTCAGCTTGTCCAATTTACTACCACTTACAAAAACTCCAACACTGCAAATGTGCGTGTTTAACACTATTCAAATTAACGTGTGCATTTGTTAAACATTCCCGAGAACACAAAAAAAGACCTTTTTTTTTTTTTACCCATACAGAATTCTTCAAATTTTTGTTTTCACCTTCAAACGAGCAGTTCACCTCGTTCACGTAGCAAAGTTTAATTTTCAAGCGCCGATTATTTTATTTCCAGAAGTTCTATTCAGATGCAAAAGTTTTCATGTAGTGATAAATGGCTTTGCAGAGTACAGAGTGGCAGTTCTTTCAGTTCCTGTTGTTTTCTTAATCTGTTTGAATTTAAAATGAATAAAAAATATTGTAACTTCAATGCACAGCAAGATTGCAACGTCTGTTGGCTTTTTCATGTCTTAAGAGGTTTGTAGAAGATATATTAACAATGTGGTTAAAGCAAATGAGGCAAACAAAAAAACTGTCATCGTTTTTATTCGATATACACCTGTCATTAGAAATGTAGCAACCCTTACTCTTCCCAAATGATGACTTTAATCTGAAAATGAGCAAATAATTCTTCTTTGAGTTGTTTTAGTGTATTGAAGGTCTTTTTAATACCTATGAGAACATAAAAGGTAAGTTTATGCTAGGTGAGATATGGTTTCAAAAGGAACAGCTAAACATGAGATTTTGGACTCCTTTGGTGACCAAATAAATATCATTGAGTATATATGAAGACCAGGCATGAAACCTTTTACGTCTTTGTGCTGCCTCTAATGGTATCAACAAAATGTATTATTTTGTTGCTTTTTATAAAAACATTCTTTATGACTTATTCAACAATAAAATCTGAATTGAGCTCTGGCTCCTTCTCCAGAGAGGGCTATCACATTGGACACGACCTTTCTGATGTCTGCAGATTGATGGTGAAATAAGAACCACAGAGAATTGCCTGTTTTTTGATTCAAAGTAAAAGAGAGGTGGGAAGTGCTTGGCAACTGCATGTTACATCTTCATGAAGCATAAAAATAAGTATGATACATTATGTTTCTCCCTTGCTTTACACTACAACATATCACATCTTTTCCTGAAAATTATGAGAACCAATCCAGCTAGAGCCAGTTCCAATGTTAGAGATGACAAACATGGGCACTGAAAAAGGTTTGTGAAATTCAGACCTTTACAAGATTGCACTCAAGACGTTTTTTTAAAACTCTGTTTAGAAATAACTTTAATCAGAGCCACATGTCTCATATTCTTACTCAAAGAAGTACCCCAGTGTACAAGGAGTCCCATAGAATCTTACAGAGATGCTAAAGTGTGACAAAACTTGCACAAAACTCGAATCTCCAATTTTCTGATGGTCACAATGTAATGCCAAATATATGAACCATCCATAAAGAATTAATAATGCATACAAAATAGTACAGTATTCTTTACAGCCAAAAGCAGAAATGAATTGACAAAAGAAAACATATTAAGATAATGTATCTTTATATCCACAATCAATAAATCAATGCTTTCAATAAAGCATTTTGTGCATTGTAAAATATCTCCTTGATAAAGGAAGAAAATAACACAGCCTAGCAGACGCACAATATTAGGAACACGTATTTAATTAAACATTCCTCCTTTGAAACTATTTGGATGATTCAGAAGGCTTTTCGGGATAATGCAATGAGTGCAGGGCAAACAAATGTGTGGCTCAAAAGCTTCAAAGACGGTCAAGAATCTGTTGAAAGATGTTGCACCCTGCAACTTCTAGCTTTTCCCAAAACTAAAATCACCTTTGAAAGGGAAGAGATTTCAGACCATCAATGAGATTCAGGTATGCACGACAGAGCAGCTGATGGCAATTCCAACAAAGGATTTTCCCGAGTGTTTTGAATTGCAGAAGAGAGGCTGGGAGAACTCTGTGAAGTCCTAAGGTGCCAACTTTTAAGGGGCTGAGGTATCATTATTCCTTGTAAAATGTTTCTTATATCTTGTATCTTGTATAAAAAATCTATTTTTCATATTACATAATTGGGTATTTTCCAGACAGACCTTGTGTAGGAACTTTAAAACATCTAGTTAAGTACACTAGAATATCCAGAAACTATTATCTGTTATAATCTTTGACACGCAGTTATGGTAACTTGGTGCATATAAACCTATAATAGAGAGCTTAACTTTTGTAGAAATAAATTTTCACACAAATTTAAAGGTTCTATGAATAAATGTTTTATGTTGAATCTTGTTGTATTTGTTTAACAAAAGTACAAAACTGTACATTGCATCAATAATTAAGTAACCATATAATACATCAAGTAGAGTAAACAGACCAAACCCTCTATGTCTAGCAGTGGGTACAAGACATAAGTAAATGGGTCAATAAAGCCTTTAAAACAATAATGTTTACTACAAATGTCAATACTGCCTTAACCCCTTAATGACTGAGCCAAATGTACAAGTTGTGATCAAAACAAAACGTAAACAAAAACTGGCATTTGCGTTATATGTCTGTTCAGGCGTAATTCACCTCTTTCATTTTATGTGCACCCACACTTATTATATATCATTTTATTCAAGGAAAACAGGGCTTTCATTTAACATCAAATATTTAGATATGGAACATAATTTAATATGAATAAAATATTTAAAAATGGGAGAAAATAAGAAGTAAAAAAAAAAAACTTTAGTTCTACGTGACATTTTAACTGTGAATGTCATAATACTGTTTATTTTTACTGCAATAAAATACACATATTTGTATTCAGCGACGTCTCACGTGTAAAACAGTACCCCCTATGTACAGGTTTTATGGTGTTTTGGGATGTTACAGGGTCAAATGTAGCATGTTAAATATTTCATATTTTTCACATTGAAATTCGCCAGATTGGTTACGTTGCCTTTGAGACCATATGATAGCCCAGGAATGAGAATTACCCCCACGATGGCATACCATTTGCAATAGTAGACAACCCAAGGTATTGCAAATTGGGTATGTCCAGTCTTTTTTAGCAGCCACTTAGTCACAAACACTGGCCAAAATTGGCTTTCAAATTAGTTTTTTGCATTCTTTACACACAAACAAATATTAACACTAACTTTGGCCAGTGTTTGTGACCAAGTGGCTACTAAAAAAGACTCGACATACCCCATTTGCAATACCTTGGGTTGTCTACTATTGCAAATGGTATGCCATCATCGGGGTAATTTTAATTCCTGGACTGCCATACAGTCTCAAAGGCAACATAACCAATCTGGCAAATTTCAATGTGAAAAAACAAACGCAGGCCTTATATTTGACTCTGTAACTTTTGAAAACACCATAAAACCTGAACATGAGGGGTCCTGTTATACTCAGGAGACTTTGCTGAACACAAATATTAGTGTTTCAAAACAGTAAAATGTATCACAACAATTATATCGTCAGTGTAAGTGCCATCTGTGTGTGAAAAATGCGAAAATTTCTGTTTCACTGGCGATATCATTGTTGTAATACATTTTACGGTTTTGAAACACTAATATTTGTGTTCAGCTGAGTCTTCCGAGTAAAACATGAACAGGTTTGGAAAGTTACAGGGCTAAATAAAGTGCTAGCAAATTAAATTCCCTGGACTTTCGGTCTAGTTTGTCAGACAGGTCCCGCAAATTGTAACTAATAAAATGACCTAATTATGTAAAATGATTAGGGTACAACAAAATACAAAAACAATATTAATACACAATATATACAAAATTTAACATAGAACAGGCAGGAAATATATAATCAACCATGACAGGTGCATTCTGTTTTGAGGTATGTAGAGAGGGATCTCTTAAAGGACTTTAGGCTTAGGGAAGATTTTAAATTGTGCGGGAGGTCGTTCCACAATTGCGGTGCTCTATAGGAGAAGGAGGATTGGGACGCTTTCTTTTTGTATTGAGGTAGACTAAGTAAAGTGTTGGTACTGGATCGGAGCTTATAGGAAGTGGGAACAGCTGGGGGAAGCATTTTGTTCAGATAGGGTGGGAGTTTCCCAGAAAAGCTCTTAAACACAAGGCTGGAAAGATGAAGGGTGTGTCTGGATTCCAGCGACAGCCAGTTTAGTTCTTTTAGCATGTCACAATGGTGAGTCCTGTAATTACATTGTAGCACAAATCGGCAGAACGAGTTATACAATGTTAAAAGTAAAAAAAAATGTAACCAGTAAACAAAAAAGTTTTAAAACAAGTTTTAAAAAGTAAACAGAGTTTTAAAAAGTAAAAATATACATTAAAAAATGCTCATTACCACTACACCTGGAACAAACTAGCGAAAAAAATTAACCCATGCTAAGGTTCAAAATATGCCTTACTACATATGCTGCCTAAGGGAGCAGTTTATGCTCTATCTCCACAGGAGAGTAGAATAATGGAGGAGTATATCAAAGACTCCCTAAGCTAAGGCCATTTGCGCACGTTATCCTCACCTGCTGGTGCAGGATTCTTTTTTGTGTCTAAAAAAGATGGTGAGTTACGTCCATGTATCGACTACAGGGCATTGAACAAAATCATCAATAAATGATTACCCCATTTCCCTTATTACTGAATTGTTTGACAGACTCCAGGGTGCTAAAATCTTTACTAAACTTGACCATAGCCGCGCATACAATTTAGTGAGGATTAAGGAAAACCATGAGTGGAAAACAGTATTTAATACTATAAGTACCTATGAGTACCTTGTGATGCCCTTTGGGTTGTGTAATGTTCCAGCTGTATTTCAGGATTTTATTAATGACCGTAATCAAGGGGTTTTCTTCTGTAATAGCCCCCATCACCAATATGACATGCAAGGGGGCTAGCAGTACAATATGGTTTAAAGAGGCTAAAGAAGCGTTTGAACTTCTCAAGAAAAGGTTTGCCTCTGCCGACATATTGATATATCCCGACACCAGCAAACCTTTCATACTGGAGCTTGATGCCTCCGAGACTGGGGTGGGGGCTGTTCTCTCGCAGAGGGAGAGCCAAGATACCCCTTTGCATCCATGTGGTTACTTCTCTGGAAAGTTGTCCCCTGCTGAGTGCAAATATGATATTGGCAATAGAGAATTGTTGGACATTATTCTAGCGCTCAAAGAATGGCAACATCTTTTAGAGGGTTCCAAGGATCCTCTTTTGATAATTACTGACCATAAGAACTTGGCTTACATAGGGGATGCTAAACGTTTATCTTCCATACAAGCTAGATGGTCACTGTTCCTTTCTCGCTTTAACTTCCTAATAACTTATAGACCTGGTTCAAAAAATGTGAAGGCTGATGCCTTGTCTAGGCAGTTTGATACTGAGTCTATACAGGAACAAGAAACATTCCCTATCATTTCCCCTGAGTGTATCATCGCTTCCAATGTCCTTTCCTTGTCTTCTCCCCTGCTTGGCACCATCATGGAGGCTCAGTCTGAGGCACCTTGCAGTAAGCCACGAGACCAATTGTTCATTCCATTGAGTGAAAGGGTTAATGTCATGAAAGTATTTCACAGCACCATGACTGCTGGACACCCGGCAATCAATAAATCCATATCCGCGATCATGAGATTATTTTGGTGGGATTCGCTCAGGAAAGATATTAAGGAGTATGTGCATGTCTGTTCTGTTTGTGCGGTTTCCAAAGTACCTCATAAGCTTCCATGTGGCTTGTTACATCCACTTCCCATTCCTGATGTTCTTTGGTCCCACCTGTCCATGGATTTCATTGTGGAACTTCCTGATTCTAATGGCTATATCACTGTTCTCATTGTAGTAGACCGCTTTTCTAAGATGGCTTATTTCATCATACTCAAGAAATTACCATCCTCACAGGAATTGCTTCTTATCTTTACACGTGAAATTGTTAGACTTTGCTCCTAGGTTCCTTGGCCCATTTTGTATCCTTCGTAGGATTAATCCTGTATCTTATTCTCTGGCTCTCCCTGCATCCTTACGTATTACAAATACTTTTCTTGTCTCTTTGCTCAAACCTCTTGTTTGCAAAAAATATACTGTCCCAAGTATTCCTCCTCCTCCTTTAGTGGTTTCTGGACAGGAGGAGGTCTCCTCCATAATTGATTTGGTATGTTAAGTCTGGCCATTCTAAGGCCCAGTAGTAATCCTGACAATCCCACCCTACCTAAGTAGAATGCAGTTCCTACCTCCTATAACCTCCGATCCAGTACTAGCACAATATTTTGCATACCGAAATACAAAAATAAAGTGGTTCGATCCTCCTTTTCCTACAGAGCACCGCAATTATGGAATAACCTCAGGGACACAGTCAAATTTTCATTCAATCTAAAATCTTTGAAGAGAACTATGACAATATACCTCACCACAGAATGCACCTGTCATGGTTGAATATATTTATTACCTGTCATGTATTAAATTTAAATATGTGTGTATGTATATATATATAGTTTGCATATTGTATTTTTGTAATATTGTATCCTATTGTAACAATGCAATGTTTTGTGGACAAAGACCCAGGACATACTTTAAAACAAGAGAAATCTCAATGTATCCATTCTGGTAAAATATTTAAAAAATAAATAAATTACATTATATTTCTATTAAAGGAAACTGGAAGGAAATATATAATCAAATTTATCTGGAGTTTATTTTTTATAATACAGATGTTAAAATAACCAAAGAGATTAATAAATTATAACTTAAAAATCTGTTGCAAAAATAATTGATAACTCTACATAACAAAATAAAAACACGAAGCTCTCTGAAAACGTTTCACAATATGAAACATTTAAATAGGTATTTAAATACAAGTATATGAACACAAAATATTGATTAGTGATTAATTCGATTAATGTCTGCAATACGTATTTATTTTGTAGCTCGGGTTTATTTCTATGTTTAAAAAAAAAATGTTGTGCAGGGTATAAAATAAACATTACTTATGGTGAATTGGCTTTATCCATTTATGATGCTTGAATGAATGATTTCAAATCCATCATTACAGTTATTTAACATTTGTCTAATGCGTCAAAGTGGGTACATTTTTCCAAGGGTTTATAAAATTACTGCATATTAACCACTATGAGTAATGTAACAGATCACTCTATGTTTCTCTAACCTTATAATTGTACAAGTCACAAAGTCTGTAAAATGTTTGACTGCTATTATGTGTTTGCTAATGTAAAATCCCATTCACTAAAGTGCTTCAGTTCAAATTTTTCTTACTCTGCATGATACATTAAGAGAAATGAATACCGTACCTGAATTTTAAGTGCTCGCAGCTACGTCCCCACTGAATGTAGAATAAAACTTCTGCATAGATTTATATTTGGAGTAACATGCACCATAATTAGGCAACTTCAAAGAGGCAGAAAAATATCTTCTAGCAAAAAACTAAATTTCAGGTTTAAATGAATTAATGGCGCATAAGGCAATTAGCTGAGAATTTTGAAAAACTAACGCATTAACAGACTTACAACTGTGCAATTTAGATTAAGTCATGATATCAAACATCAATGATTAATGATCTTCTAGTAATATACTGTATATTTTCACATGCATTAACATGTATGCTTTTAAGAAACAATTTTATAAATTTATCAATTTTATTTATCTTTTAACAAACTGAAGTCAATTAAAGGTCCTTGGTCAAGAATAATAATTTTATTACATGACAGGAGGCTTCCTATTTTGCATGACTTTCTTTACTCATGCCTCCAGCAGCACAAGTCAATCAATAAACTTTTAACCAATCATAAAAGAGTACATAACCATATATAAGGCTCTGATTGTCACATGACTTCCTCTTTCTTTGCTGCTTCCAGCCAAGGCACAGGTCAGAGTATTCTGCTCTCACTATTTGTCTATTATATGTGCAATTCTTACTGTCTCTTTAATTGATGCTGGCTTACTCTCTACTGTATGTCCCCCTTTTAAATGCACTTAGTTTTCTGCCTGCTCCCTCAGCTTGTTAGTGTTTCTTTTGTGGGGTTTCCCTGTCTCTGGGGCTGCACTGTATTTTGCCTCTGGTCTGTTTTGGTCCCTCGCGATTCGCGGCATTTTACCGCGATCGCGCGAGACCGTGGGGTCTGACCAGGGGCTCCAAGGGCTGGGGGGGTAACTGGGGGACACAGGGGGGTGCCGGCCAGGTTTGTCGGATCGCGGTCGCGGGCCGCGATCGCGAGCCGCGCGGCAAAATTTGCGCGGGAACGGCGGCCATCTTGGATCTCGCGAGATCCTCGGCGGCCATCTTAGGTTGCCAGTTCGTGATTCCCACGAACTGGCATAAAGTTTGTACATAATGTGTAGTTTCTCCAATGTGTAGTTTTTATATACTGCTCTCCATACTGGTTAACACTGAAGTGTTAGTTAACCCCTTACTCCCTGGATACAGGAGTTACTGCAGGCACATAAATGAAATAAAGCTTAAAGGAATACTTACCTGCTTGCACCCATGGACGGCTCAGGCTGATATACTTAATGCCTAGAGCTCACTGAGGACACTGGTGGCTGACTCACAGAGCATACACTGAAGACAGGATACATATAAATCTGAAAAAAAAATCAAAAAAAAAAATCTAAGTTTATGCAAGGGTGCTCTTCACGCCCACTCAAGGGCTTATAGCAACGTACGCTTTACTATATGCGGCACCTCCATGGTACAACTGGGGTGATCCAGACAATTCACTGCCTATTGGTAAAAGATCCCACAGTGGCGTAACTTCCACATGCAAAATAAAAAAGCGTACTGAGGTCTCTGACACCTCCCATTACCGGGCCACGTCCCGACCATTACCGGGCCTCGTCCCGACCATTACCGGGCCTCGTCCCGACCATAACGACCGTGCACCCCGGTCGATGAGAGGGTGACCCCCTCTACAGACCACTACTCAAATTCCTAGTGGTACTGATTATATGGTACCTGGGTGACCCCCAGTTGTACGTGGAAGCCACTGTGTAGCTACATACGCACTGACGTATACCATATCTACCCACAGACGGGAAGATCAAACTGCCACCATGTCAGACGCCCCTCCATCATCGCCCATGGATTTCCAGGCCATGATCAATGCCGCTGTGTCGGCTTCGGTGGAAAAGGCGTTAGCCAAAATGATGGCGCAACCACAGGCGGAGGGGGCAGATGCCACGCCTCCGACAAGAAAAGAGGATACAGAGCCCACCGAGTCCAAGGCGGAGGCTGGGCCGTGCAAACGACAATGGAGGGGATCCAACACGACCCTGCAGAGATGGGAGGGGAAGGTGTTGCGAAAGCGGAGCCGCCAGTCTAGGCGCCCGGAACGCTCCCCTCCACAGCCCCTTTCCTCAGGGGATGAGGAGCCGCTATCTCCACCTTCATTAGAAGTCATGGACGAATGGAGGGCAGAGGATTCCCCCTCGGAGGAGGAGGACTGGCAGGACATGCCTCAAGAGGTCGGAGACTGCGACCATGGCCCCGAACGGGCACACCGCTCAGGCGGCAAAAGCACACGTAAAGTGCATACGGAGGTATATGAAGATGGGGTGTTTCTGGATGGGGCTGGCAACCCCTTGTTTGATCCACGCCAGATACGCCACCCCAGATTGTCAGAATGGAACCTGCCGGACCATCTGACTCACTTTGTACATTTTTGGCTGAGGAAGCCAATGGACAAGGAGGTGCGGGCCAAGCTCAAAGCAGAGTGCCCACGTCCCGTCCTCCCGGACAAGATAGCCCTCACCCCAGAGTTCGATGCCATAGTGGGGGTGTTTATGTCCCGCTCGGGCAGAGACCCACGGAAAGGTGTCGAGAAGGGCATGAAATCGGTCCAGGACAAAATGCTGGACATGCTAGGTCCTTTAGCGAGGATCCTATACCTCGCAGATGTGGCCCTCACCCAGGGGACGGCCCTCGAGGCACACGACATTAGAGAATGGGCACAACGAGCGATCTGCCTACTAGGGAACTCCAATGCCACCATGTGCGCAGAACGCCGTAAAGCGGCTTTATTGAAGATAGATTCCAAACTGTTGGACCTGGGGAAGAAAGAGTTAGGCCCCCTGGCGGACGGACTGCTCTTTGGAGAACCATTCATGGCTGAACTGAAGAAGCACGTAGGCCTGTAGATGAATAAGGCACAATCATCTATTAGACAAGTCTTTCGGAACCCACAGACAACTCGAGGTGTTTTTGGCAGGGCTGGTCGGCAGAGGGGTCGGGCCACCAGCCGTTTCTGGCCATCCGGCCCCAGTCGCCCATACGCTACACAACAGTTCTTCCCATCTGCAAAAGCCAACTTCACAAGGGGATCCTTGCGTACAAGGGGCACTCGGAACAGAGGAAGGGGACGTTACAACTCAGGTGAGCATGAACTATCCTCCATTATGTCCTTCAAATATAACTGCTGGCAGATTGTCCCTTTTTCTGCAGGAATGGGAACGAATATCCGCAGACGCATGGATCCTACAGACCGTGCGAGGGTACGTGATAGAATTTGCCCGTGCGCCAGTTCAGATCAGGCGACCATCACCTATCCGGGTGTCAGAGAGTCAGAGACGCCTCATAGACACGGAGATACGAACCCTGTTCGTCAAGGGAGCGGTGGAACTTGCCCCAGATGACCAGGGTTACTTCAGCAACATGTTCGTGGTCAAGAAAAAGACGGGAGACTACCGCCCAGTCATCAACTTACGAGAACTGAACGGATTTGTGGCTTATCGCCATTTCAAAATGGAAGGTATTCATCTTCTGAGGGATCTGCTGAACGAACGCGACTGGTTCACACGCTTGGACCTAAAAGACGCCTACCTGTCGGTTCCCATGGCTCGAGAAAGCCGAATCTTCCTGCGTTTCATCTGGAGGGGTCGCCCTTGCCAATTCACATGTCTCCCATTCGGCCTCAGTTCGGCTCCATGGTGTTTTACGAAACTCCTCAAACCAGTAATGGCCCATCTGAGAGGAAGAGGAATACGCTGCCTCGTGTATCTGGACGATTTGTTGATCTTTGGCGACTCCAAATCCAGAATTCAATCTCAGACGAGATTTACCATTCACTTTCTGGAATCATTGGGGTTTATAGTGAACAGAGAGAAGTCATCATTGGTTCCATCACGAGTAGTCCAGTTCCTCGGGTTCGAGATAGATTCCAACTCTTGCGTGCTACGCCTCCCTGCATCCAAGATAGCGGCCATTCGGAAGGAGATCCGACGGATACTCAGGAGAGACACCATACCTCTCCGACTATTAGCGAGGATAGTAGGACTACTCTCCTCATCAATACAAGCGATTTTCCCAGGCCCGCTGCACTACCGGGCAATGCAGAGACTGAAAGCCCAATATTTACGAACCGGACACACATACGATCACTGGATCCCGGTCTCCACGGAGGCTCGGACGGAACTACGGTGGTGGCTACTGCACATGGAAGCCTGGAATGGCAGAGCCATTTTCGGGGCGAACCCGGACTTTGTATTGGAGTCGGACGCGAGCCTTTGGGGCTGGGGAGCTCACTGCACCCACGCATCCACGGGAGGTCCATGGTCTCAAGATGAACAGGGTCTCCACATCAACTGCCTGGAACTGATTGCGGGATCGTTTGCGATTCGCAGTCTAGCCAAGGACATGGCGAACTGTTGCATTCTTCTACGCATGGACAACATTTCCGCGGTCCAATACATAAATCGACTAGGGGGAGCCCGATCACGGATCCTGACGGAGGAGACGAAGGACATCTATCAATTCTGTATTCCCCGCAACATTACGATCAAAGCGGAATATTTACCAGGAGCCAACAACCTCACGGCGGATTGGTTTTCTCGTCATTGGCGGGACGGCAGCGACTGGAGACTGGACACTTCAGTATTTACAATGGTGAGGGACCTCAGGGGCCCGTTGGTCATGGATTTGTTTGCCTCTCGGACGAACACTCAGTTACCAAGGTACTTCAGCTGGCTTCCGGACCCTCAATGCGAGGCAGTAGACGCCTTTCTACAACAGTGGCCTCCGAGGGGAGCGTACGCATTCCCACCCTTTTCAATGATAGCAAGAGTGCTCCATCGCATCAGAGCAACCAAGATATTGATGATTCTCATCACACCGTTGTGGAAGAGTCAAGCATGGTTTCCGGAATTATTGGCTCTCACGCGGGACCATCCATTACTTCTTCCATCGGTTCCCTTTCTGCTGACAGATCCGAAAGGGGAACCACATCCACTACTGGTACAGGAGAGTCTGGAGCTGGTGGCCTGGAGTCTTTCAGGGGAGCCTGGTCCGTCGAGGGACTATTGCAACCAGCTAAAGACCTTTTATGGGATTCATGGGCACCGGGCACCCGACGGAGTTACCTATCAGCGTGGAATTCATGGAAACGTTGGTGTCTGGGACGGAATTGTGATCCCTTTACAGCACCTAACACCATGGTGGTAAATTTTTTGTCGCACCTCTTCACGGAGGGAAAATCCTATCGTTCCATCAATGTGACGCGTTCCGCAATTTCAGCGGCACACGTAACAGTACGTGGCTCTCCGGTTGGTCAGGACCCTTTGGTATGTCGCCTAATGCGAGGCATCAAATTGTCCAGACCGCCGGAACCTAAGTATAGTCACATGTGGGACGTAGAGGTGGTCCTTAACTTCCTTCGGAATTGGCCAGACAATAAAGATTTGTCACTACGGCAGTTGTCGGCCAAGCTGACATTACTTTTATGTTTGGTATCCTTTCGAAGGGTTTCGGACGTGCGAGCGTTCGATGTGGATGGGTTCTCGATCTCACCGGAAGGGGTTACCTTCACGGTGTCTCGTAGAACCAAAACGAATTCAACATCTATATCTTATCCATTTTTTCCTACGGTCCCTCGTTTATGTGTAGTTTCCGCACTTACGCGATACGTGGAGGTTACTGCAAGTATTCGAGCTTTTAGCAGAGGACAACTGTTGGTATCTTACACCAAACCTTACAAACCAGTTACCACTACTACTCTGGCTCGATGGGTTCGTTGGATCCTGTCCCTAGCAGGAGTGGAGACGTGTTTTGGGGCTCACTCGGTTAGGGGCGCGGCTGCCTCAAGAGCGTTCTCGGCGGGAGCGTCTTTAGCAGATATCCTACGTTCCGCAGACTGGACACGGGAGGATACCTTCCGTTTATTTTACTTTCGTCAGAACACACACGCATCTTTCTCGCTATTACCTCAGCTTTAAAAATGCAAAATAGGAAGCCTCCTGTCATGTAATAAAATTGTAGATTATGCTAACGTAGTGTACCTATAATCTTAATTTTAATAATGACAGGAGGCGAGTATTTTCCCTCCCTCTCCTCCCATACTCTGGTTCTCTTATATGTCACCTTTTGTATTGCTTATTTGTAACCTGCATAGTTTATCTAGAGGATATGTATGGGATGTTTGAGGTAATAGACAAGGATTTGTTGTTAGTAGATTAAAATGCTAGTTATATGGAGATAGCTTATTTCTTTTGATATAAGATATGGATAGATATAGTATCAATGATATTATATAGACATCGGTCTATTTCCAGCCTCTTACACTCGTTTCTATTTCTTTCAGTGTGATTGCCGCTTCTGGCACAGAAGAAGACAAGCCGGATAATGGATCTTACGGATCAAGTTTCAGTTCAATATGCGTTAACCATTTGGAATTGGGTTTTGTGGAAGTTGGACTTTCCAGAGAACAAGTTTGAAACACTATATCGTTAAGAACTTAAGTTAGCTACTGACGTTACGTGGACTGATAGCAATTCAAAGAAAGAGGAAGTCATGTGACAATCAGAGCCTTATATATGGTTATGTACTCTTTTATGATTGGTTAAAAGTTTATTGATTGACTTGTGCTGCTGGAGGCATGAGTAAAGAAAGTCATGCAAAATACTCGCCTCCTGTCATTATTAAAATTAAGATTATAGGTACACTACGTTAGCATAATCTACAATTTAATGGTGGAAATATTTTTTTTCATTAGGACTTTTTTATAGGGATAAATACTTATTGCTTCCAAAGCCATTGCATATAAATTAGATGTTTCTAGAAATCCGGAAGCTGTTTTGGAGCTTGTTGATAGAATTCACCGTAA